AAATAAAAAACATTTATATTGATTCTGACACTTCTACATCCAACTCACAGGTTTATCATTACTTTGAGAACAAAGATTATTAATTTAACCCTTTTAGAAGGGAAGATATGGTCATTTGTTCTGGGAATGTCATTTTCGAGCCTGAGACCTGAAAAACAGGCTCAGAGTGGAACAGTGGTGGATTAGAGTGTCCACCTTAACAAGTCGTTAGCAGCGTGTGTTAAAGTGGGCTCCAGTGTTTTGGAAAGCCTCTCGTAAAGCTTCCCTCTGACTCTGGAGAAATCACGGCTGTAAAACACATTCCTGCTCGAACCTCTCTCTGCTGAGGTCAGGAAGGAGAACTGCCTCCAGACCCAGAATATGAGCTCAAGACTTGTCTGGAAGCCTCGGCCTCTTACGGGACTTTATTCTGAGTTTCTCATGTCAAAATCTACTTCACAAACACATGTAGGAAAAGGTCATGGTGCGTTCAGGTGCTGTTGAAAAGCTCTGACTTTTAACAAGTGCTTTTTTGGGGTCTTTATTAGTTTCAGGTATAACTTAGAGGAATGTGACAACCCTATATAACTATAGCCCCACATTAACAACTAGATTTCCTGTTAAAACATCACCTTTGTCGTGCTTTCTTTGCAGGTTTCAGCTTTTTGCACACATTTTAACCAACCTCTCTGTCTCTGTTTACTTACAGATTCCCTCAACGTCTGCAGCTCCAGGAGATGCTCCAGGAGATGCTCCAGGAGATGCTTCAGGAGATGCTCCAGGAGATGCTCCAGGAGATGCTTCAGGAGATGCTTCAGGAGATGCTTCAGGAGATGCTTCAGGAGATGCTCCAGGAGATGCTTCAGGAGATGCTCCAGGAGATGCTTCAGGAGATGCTTCAGGAGATGCTCCAGGAGATGCTTCAGGAGATGCTCCAGGAGATGCTTCAGGAGATGCTTCAGGAGATGCTCCAGGAGATGCTTCAGGAGATGCTTCAGGAGATGCTTCAGGAGATGCTTCCTCACACGTCTGCAGCTCCAGGAGATGCTTCAGGAGATGCTCCAGGAGATGCTTCCTCACACGTCTGCAGGACCAGTACGTAGAGTAAATGCTGCTTTCCCACTTCTAACCTCTTCAGTTTGATAAATTAAGTTAATAACAGCATGCAAACACATGTCTAAGACCTCATGATGCAAAACCTAAAATAGCAGAATGTGCGTTATAGATGCTTTTATCTTAAATTTAAATTACTTAATGGAACATTCTTGCATAAAAGTGCTTTAATTAAGCGTGTTTAGAGCACCACCTGTGTGTCAAAGACCCGTGTGAAGCCCCTTGAAGCATTTATGTGGTTAATAACTTGAGTTAAAAACCCAATATGAAATATAGCCGTGCTGCCAAATCACAGTAGGAATTAAATGAGTTGTTTCCACGTTTAAAAAGCACTCTCTGCACCTTCCAAAATGTATGGTTTCTTTTATTAAAATGTGTTCCTATGATTGCATGAATAGTGCACAGGGTTTATTGGCTGAACAGCCGTGTCTGGTGCTCCTCTCCCCCGTTATCTCCCCCGTTATCTCCCCCGTTATCTCCCCCGTTATCTGCATGAATAAGTGACGGTGCTGCTGATGTTGGTCTTATCTGCTCCTCTGGTCGGGTTTCAGCGCCCGCGGCTGTTTCCTCTCCCACTTCACACGCAGCTCTGAGAGAATAAGGAACAGCGGTGGCAAAAGCAATCACAAACTGCAGATCAAACGTATCCTCGGCTGAATTCCCTGACAGACTGGAATCATTTGTTCCCGCTGCTTTGTTTTATGTGGTTTCAGCAGAGCGTCCTGAGGGCCTCGCTGTCACAACTCGTAGTGAAGAACAGCGCCGAGTCTGGCCTGTTCCCCCTCCTGTTAGCGGGCTTTTTCATCACCTTTTTCATCACCTTCCAGTCGGGTTTACATGACGTCGACAGGAGGTAACACCAGGTCAGGGGAAGGGATTTCAAAGAGGTCGTCTTTAAGTAAGCGTGGCGCCTCGTGCAACAAGAAAGGGTTGAAGAAAAGTGCCGAGCGTGCAGGAACTTCAAAGAGTTTAGGCAATCAAGGGAAGGACTGATGGAGGATGATATTTACTACAACCAGAGGCAGGAGAATATCTTATACTTCGACCAGTTGTTTGTTCAATTAGACATACTACGTTGGGCTTTCCCTCAATGAAATGGCTGCAGAAATGAAGCAGGGACTGTCAAACGTGCGGCAACTCTGCTGGAGAAAGTGATTAATTGATCATCAAGACGGTTGATTACTTTTCTGTCGTCTGATTAATCTTTGCAGTTCCATCCAGCAGAAAGAAAGCTGACTATACGAGGAAGAAAGAAGGAAACAGCATTAAATAGTTTGTGAGGGTCCTGCAAAACATGGTGTATATCAGTATGTAGTGTCTCTACTTTAAAGAGTTCTCTCCTGTTGATGTTCAGGTGTATATCAGTATGTAGTGTCTCTACTTTAAAGAGTTCTCTCCTGCTGATGTTCAGGTGTATATCAGTATGTAGTGTCTCTACTTTAAAGAGTCCTCTCCTGCTGATGTTCAGGTGTATATCAGTATGTAGTGTCTCTACTTTAAAGAGTCCTCTCCTGCTGATGTTCAGGTGTATATCAGTATGTAGTGTCTCTACTTTAAAGAGTCCTCTCCTGCTGATGTTCAGGTGTATATCAGTATGTAGTGTCTCTACTTTAAAGAGTCCTCTCCTGCTGATGTTCAGGTGTATATCAGTATGTAGTGTCTCTACTTTAAAGAGTTCTCTCCTGCTGATGTTCAGGTGTATATCAGTATGTAGTGTCTCTACTTTAAAGAGTCCTCTCCTGCTGATGTTCAGGTGTATATCAGTGTGTAGTGTCTCTACTTTAAAGAGTCCTCTCCTGCTGATGTTCAGGTGTATATCAGTATGTAGTGTCTCTACTTTAAAGAGTCCTCTCCTGCTGATGTTCAGGTGTATATCAGTATGTAGTGTCTCTACTTTAAAGAGTCCTCTCCTGCTGATGTTCAGGTGTATATCAGTATGTGTGTCTCTACTTTAAAGAGTCCTCTCCTGCTGATGTTCAGGTGTATATCAGTATGTAGTGTCTCTACTTTAAGAGTTCTCTCCTGCTGATGTTCAGGTGTATATCAGTATGTAGTGTCTCTACTTTAAAGAGTCCTCTCCTGCTGATGTTCAGGTGTATATCAGTATGTAGTGTCTCTACTTTAAAGAGTCCTCTCCTGCTGATGTTCAGGTGTATATCAGTATGTAGTGTCTCTACTTTAAAGAGTCCTCTCCTGCTGATGTTCAGGTGTATATCAGTATGTAGTGTCTCTACTTTAAAGAGTCCTCTCCTGCTGATGTTCAGGTGTATATCAGTGTGTAGTGTCTCTACTTTAAAGAGTCCTCTGCTGCTGATGTCCAGGTCTATATCAGTATGTAGTGTCTCTACTTTAAAGAGTCCTCTCCTGCTTATGTTCAGGTGTATATCAGTATGTAGTGTCTCTACTTTAAAGAGTCCTCTCTTGCTGATGTCCAGGTGTATATCAGTATGTAGTGTCTCTACTTTAAAGAGTCCTCTCCTGCTGATGATCAGGTGTATATCAGTATGTAGTGTCTCTACTTTAAAGAGTCCTCTCCTGCTGATGTTCAGGTGTATATCAGTATGTAGTGTCTCTACTTTAAAGAGTCCTCTCCTGCTGATGTTCAGGTGTATATCAGTATGTAGTGTCTCTACTTTAAAGAGTCCTCTCCTGCTGATGTTCAGGTGTATATCAGTATGTAGTGTCTCTACTTTAAAGAGTCCTCTCCTGCTGATGTTCAGGTGTATATCAGTATGTAGTGTCTCTACTTTAAAGAGTCCTCTCCTGCTGATGTTCAGGTGTATATCAGTATGTAGTGTCTCTACTTTAAAGAGTCCTCTCCTGCTGATGTTCAGGTGTATATCAGTATGTAGTTTCTCTACTTTAAAGAGTCCTCTCCTGCTGATGTTCAGGTGTATATCAGTATGTAGTGTCTCTACTTTAAAGAGTCCTCTCCTGCTGATGTTCAGGTGTATATCAGTATGTAGTGTCTCTACTTTAAAGAGTCCTCTCCTGCTGATGTTCAGGTGTATATCAGTATGTAGTATCTCTACTTTAAAGAGTCCTCTCCTGCTGATGTTCAGGTGTATATCAGTATGTAGTGTCTCTACTTTAAAGAGTCCTCTCCTGCTGATGTTCAGGTGTATATCAGTATGTAGTGTCTCTACTTTAAAGAGTCCTCTCCTGATGATGTTCAGGTGTATATCAGTATGTAGTGTCTCTACTTTAAAGAGTCCTCTCCTGCTGATGTTCAGGTGTATATCAGTATGTAGTGTCTCTACTTTAAAGAGTCCTCTCCTGCTGATGTTCAGGTGTATATCAGTATGTAGTGTCTCTACTTTAAAGAGTCCTCTCCTGCTGATGTTCAGGTGTATATCAGTATGTAGTGTCTCTACTTTAAAGAGTCCTCTCCTGCTGATGTTCAGGTGTATATCAGTATGTAGTGTCTCTACTTTAAAGAGTCCTCTCCTGCTGATGTTCAGGTGTATATCAGTATGTAGTGTCTCTACTTTAAAGAGTCCTCTGCTGCTGATGTTCAGGTGTATATCAGTGTGTAGTGTCTCTACTTTAAAGAGTCCTCTCCTGCTGATGTTCAGGTGTATATCAGTATGTAGTGTCTCTACTTTAAAGAGTCCTCTCCTGCTGATGTTCAGGTGTATATCAGTATGTAGTGTCTCTACTTTAAAGAGTCCTCTCCTGCTGATGTTCAGGTGTATATCAGTATGTAGTGTCTCTACTTTAAAGAGTCCTCTGCTGCTGATGTTCAGGTGTATATCAGTGTGTAGTGTCTCTACTTTAAAGAGTCCTTTCCTGCTGATGTTCAGGTGTATATCAGTATGTAGTGTCTCTACTTTAAAGAGTCCTCTCCTCCCACACATCCACAAGAAAGACAACACAGACAGCATTTGTTTAAAAAAATCAATGTCAATATTGTATTTCTTAAAAATGTACAAATGATATTTACATTCAACGACAATGTACAAAAGAATAAAACAACATGCTCGCCTCTCTGATCTTGTGCTGGTCTCGCTGCGGGAGCTCCACTGATTTATGCATGAGTTCATAATGAAGGGTGTGATGGCCGACGCTCAGATGTCACTGTTAATCTCTGCAGCAACACGGAAATCAAACAAGGCTCACAGAGGACGCCCACTGTACTGGAGATGCTGCGATGCATGGAGAAATATCCTTCCAGTCATTTACAGTGCAGAACAAGTGTTAGGTATCAGATCATCTCCACATTGACATACTGAGTTAGGCACTTAAAACTGATCTCACTGCAGACCTGTACATCATATTTACTACCTAAGGCAGAAATATGGCTTTTCAAAAGGATAGAAATCTGCCTTTTTTTTAATAATTCACAAGACTGTACAAGAAAAAGAAGCGTCACACACAGCGGAGGCTTTTTGGCTCACGATCGCATCAGTCTGTTATTAAATGATGCTACGACATGGAGTTGAGGAACTTGCTCTCCTCGGCGAGAGCAGAAAGCAGCGAGCTCATGTCTCCGATCGCCATGTTGCCCGTCCCCTGCGGCACCGAGGGCAACGTCACAGAGTTCCTGGGCGTTGTCAGACGGGAGGAACTCCGCGAAAAACTCTGGAGCAACCCTGGACTCAAAGTTCCCGACATGACGCTGGAGTGATCGTCGTCGTCGTCATCGTCCTCCAGCATGCAGTCAAAGTCTATCTGCTCCGGAGTTAAGCTACCGTCCACAGGCGCCCTGTTGGACGACGCTGCGTTGCTTTCAAAAAGAGGTACATTCACCACGGGACAAGCAAGATGGTCAAAGTTCCCATTGTGCTCAAACACTTGAATCTGCCCTGTGTAGAACAAGGCATTGTCCTCAGAGTTCTCGCTGCAATGAAGTCCTAAAACGCCACCTGGTAAAGCAGAAGCTACGTCCTGGTTAGCATTGCTTTGGTGCCTTGACCCTGACAGGTGTCTAGTTAGAGGTCTAGGTCCTGTTGGTGGCGTTGGATGGAGGTGCAAGGGATTCTGGGAGGTCATGTTACAGTTCTGCTGATCTGAAATCATGATTGATTCATCACAGTCCTCTACTTTGACCTGCACGCGCTGAAATCCAGCATCAGCTAAGTGCACAGGCTCCTGTTTGCATGTAGCGCTTGGCAAGTTGACCTTGACTGGATACGTGGAGTTACCGTTCCTATCATAGAGACTTTCCTTAAACCTGCACGGAGACAGATTGAGATTTGACAACTGGAGGCAGCCCTCTCCTTGTTCTGGTTCCAGCTGTTTGCATCTCGTTGTGTTAACGTGGTTCTGCATCATCTGCTGGTTGGAGCTGAGGTCGTTAAAGTTCTGCTGGAGGACAGCCAGGTTCCCTCTGGCCTGTGCTTTGGAGCAGAGCTCACTGGCGTCCATTTGACCCAAAGAGACCTTACTGTCCCTCGGTGAAGATGCACCCATGTTGGACGAGGCTACAACCTGATGGGGAAGGTTCATGTTGGTCCTCACAACAGCCATCCTCCTCTGATAGTATGACTGCTGATGCTGGGGATTGGGGGTACCTTGAAAATGGGCTTGATTTGGGTCAGGCTGCATCACACCTTCTTCAGGAATGTCACCCGTTATCCTCCCAACGGGTATATTCTCTGAAATACTGCAAGGGTATCGGTGTGGACTACCATCCTGATGGAGGCAGCCTTGCTGGGGTCTGCAATCTGCTGCAGGCGGTGGCTGCCTGGATCCTGCTCCGGTCAGGGTGCCCATGCTGTTGTAGCGCTGCATGTGTGGCCTTGTGGGATAATCGGGGCGTCTCACTGGATCACTGGCTCGACGGGGGAGGGTAGACGGGACTTCGTGGGGCATCAAGGTCCGTGTGGAGTAGCTGTTATACTCTCTGGAAACCCGGTCTCTTTTTGTAGCGGAGGATTCCTGGTAGTCCTCAAACAGGGCATTCATTCGGTCCATGTTTGGAAGAGGTGTGGGCGGTGCACCTCCTGTAGCGGCAGCGTACTTTGCCTTGAGGCGGTAGTGTTGGGCGGGGGTCAGGCTGAGAGGACCGTTGCCTCCCCCAAACTGGCTGTTCTGACTGGAGCGCCGGGACATGTCCGCAGATATTGGGTCGTAGGAGTCGTTGGAGCTGGGGCGGTTGCATCCGAACTGGGAGGACTGGCTGGAGCGCCGGCTGGAGAAACACTGGGAGATTCCTGAAGATCGGCGGCTGTACATGGAGCTCAGGGTGCTGGAGGTGCTGTCACGGCGCTCCAACAGGGTCGCTTTACTCAGATCACCACAGCCGGAACCAGGGAAGGACACCGGACCACCACCCGTACCAAACAAGGACCCTGTGAATCAAGGAATGAAAATGTTAGGGCCTTTTGATTTCTTACCAACGCTGCCACGCTCTTTGGAGACTTTTATCCTGCAGTCTTTGATACACCTAGGTCAGAGGTGGGAAGTAGTGCAGTACAAATACTTTGTTACTGTACTTAAGTACATGTTTCTGGTATCAGCACTTTACTCCACTACTTATTTTTCTGACCACTTTTTACTTTGACTTCTCACATGTTGAACCCAAATACCTGTACTTTCTACTTCTTACATGTTGAACCCAAATACCTGTACTTTCTACTTCTTACATGTTGAACCCAAATACCTGTACTTTCTACTTCTTACATGTTGAACACAAATACCTGTACTTTCTACTTCTTACATGTTGAACACAAATACCTGTACTTTCTACTTCTAACATGTTGAACACAAATACCTGTACTTTCTACTTCTAACATGTTGAACACAAATACCTGTACTTTCTACTTCTTACATGTTGAACACAAATACCTGTACTTTCTACTTCTTACATGTTGAACCCAAATACCTGTACTTTCTACTTCTTACATGTTGAACCCAAATACCTGTACTTTCTACTTCTTACATGTTGAACCCAAATACCTGTACTTTCTACTTCTTACATGTTGAACCCAAATACCTGTACTTTCTACTTCTTACATGTTGAACCCAAATACCTGTACTTTCTACTTCTTACATGTTGAACACAAATACCTGTACTTTCTACTTCTTACATGTTGAACACAAATACCTGTACTTTCTACTTCTAACATGTTGAACACAAATACCTGTACTTTCTACTTCTAACATGTTGAACACAAATACCTGTACTTTCTACTTCTTACATGTTGAACACAAATACCTGTACTTTCTACTTCTTACATGTTGAACACAAATACCTGTACTTTCTACTTCTTACATGTTGAACACAAATACCTGTACTTTCTACTTCTTACATGTTGAACACAAATACCTGTACTTTCTACTTCTTACATGTTGAACACAAATACCTGTACTTTCTACTTCTTACATGTTGAACACAAATACCTGTACTTTCTACTTCTTACATGTTGAACACAAATACCTGTACTTTCTACTTCTTACATTTTGAACCCAAATACCTGTACTCTCTACTTCTTACATGTTGAACCCAAATACCTGTACTTTCTACTTCTTACATTTTGAACACAAATACCTGTACTTTCTACTTCTTACATGTTGAACACAAATACCTGTACTTTCTACTTCTTACATGTTGAACACAAATACCTGTACTTTCTACTTCTTACATTTTGAACACAAATACCTGTACTTTCTACTTCTTACATGTTGAACACAAATACCTGTACTTTCTACTTCTTACATGTTGAACCCAAATACCTGTACTTTCTACTTCTTACATGTTGAACACAAATACCTGTACTTTCTACTTCTCACATGTTGAACTCAAATACCTGTACTTTCTACTTCTTACATGTTGAACACAAATACCTGTACTTTCTACTTCTCACATGTTGAACACAAATACCTGTACTTTCTACTTCTTACATGTTGAACACAAATACCTGTACTTTCTACTTCTTACATGTTGAACCCAAATACCTGTACTTTCTACTTCTTACATGTTGAACACAAATACCTGTACTTTCTACTTCTCACATGTTGAACTCAAATACCTGTACTTTCTACTTCTTACATGTTGAACCCAAATACCTGTACTTTCTACTTCTCACATGTTGAACTCAAATACCTGTACTTTCTACTTCTTACATGTTGAACACAAATACCTGTACTTTCTACTTCTCACATGTTGAACACAAATACCTGTACTTTCTACTTCTCACATGTTGAACACAAATACCTGTACTTTCTACTTCTTACATGTTGAACACAAATACCTGTACTTTCTACTTCTTACATGTTGAACCCAAATACCTGTACTTTCTACTTCTCACATTTCCCAAACAGGCTGGTTCCTTTAGTTTGAATGTGTGTTTGGTGGCGTGATCATTATTATTTAGAGTCATTGCGTGCCTATTGATTTGAACACGATCCGTGTATCCATCATTTCCTGGTCTTCTCTAAAGAAGAGGGACCAATGAAAACGTTGTCATGTTGCCGTTGTTCAGCATGGAAACATTCATTAGCTAACAATGACATTATTGTTCTATTCATATAAAGGGAGGTCAGGTACTCTTTAAAACAGCTGCTAGTTATGGGTACTTTTTACTGAAGTACATTTAGAAGTTCTTTACTTTTACTTGAGTAAAGAAGTTTAGTCAGTACTTCTACTTCTACCAGAGTATTTTTAAACAGGAGTATGTGTACTTCTACTTGAGTACAGGATGTGTGTACTCTTGCCCTCTCTACCTGCTGGGATGGGAGGCAGTTTGGTGCCGAGGACTGTTGGGTTTCCGGCCCACCGACACGAGTCCCTCGCCGTCTTCAGCGTCTCTTTCTTTAGATGCATGGTGATGCCAAAGTGCTTTCGATGGTGGAGACCCATCACCGCGAGCCCCCCGACGGTATCCTCATATCCCAGGTCCTCCAGAGGGCTGAAGTCCCCCACGCTCCCCCCACTGGGCGCCGCCATTTCTACTCCACTGTCATTGTTGGTGGCGCTGCCAAGTGGGGACGGTTCGCTGCTACATGATGACTGACCGCTGGACTGATACATCTACAGAGAGAGAGAAAGAGCATAAGAAACTGAAGGTCCTCTTCCAACATGAGAGCAACATGCTAACAAAGGTATCCCAACTGTAGCTGTGAACATGACAGGATGTATGATTACCTAGAAGAGCATCAGGACTGTTTGAGGCATATGATAGCTATGTGATTAACATGAGGATTCAGCCTCTATGGAGATAGACATATGACAAGCATGCTCATTTCTGACGTGGAGCTAATCTGAAGTAAACATTGAATACTGCTTTCTATTCCTCCATCTTGTGACTGTGTAACTCCCTCTCTTGGATATCAGCATGTGAAGGACACTGTTCAGGAACTAGTTGATGCTCTGTATGTGATGACTCCTTCCATTCTGGAGAGGATCACAAATACATGGATCCTGAGATTGAAGATCAAGCTGGAGACCAGGGATTATTAACATTTTTAAGTATTCAGAAAAAGTCAGAATTTTGAGATTTCTGAGAAAAAGTCAGCATTTTTTAGATTTGTGTGAAAAAGTCAGATTTTTTAGATTTTAAGAAAAAGTCAGATTTTGAGAAAAAGTCAGATCTTTTAGATTTTGACTACTTTCATTCTGGAGAGGATCAGGAATACATGGATCCTGAGATTGAAGCTCAAGCCGGGGACCAGGGAGAGTTCTCTAACAGAAACAGTCCAGAAGTGCAGCAACAGTTGATATGGCGTGCAGAACAGTGAGTCTTTTATCCTCCCCCGGCTTAATTGTAAATAATGAGTGTTTTTTTTGGAGATGGGGGTGCAGAGGTGGGGGTGCAGAGGTGGGGGTGCAGAGGTGGGGGTGCACCACAGATTACAGGCTGTCTTAGTCTGTCTGTGAATGAGAAATGTGCAGATGAAAGGCTGCCGGATCTTCACCAGATCACGGCTCTCTCTCTGAAACACTGGAGGGGGTTCTCAGCGTTTAGGTGAGTAAGAAGCATTTCACTCTGACTTGTTTCAGTTAGACAGTTAAAAACACCTCGAGGGTCTCTCTTTTATTCACTTGCATATATTTATTTGTGGTTTACAGTACGAACCAACAAATCCCTAAAGCACCGCTCAGCTTGCGCTCATATCTCTGATATCTAACCTCAGGACTCAGAGACGTAATCCCCTCACGGCTCTTTCCTTAGAACAATAACACTCACATGTATCTCCCTGACCGACCCGGGCTTCCTTGCAGACTCTTAATATATTCGCTGCTAAAAAGCCGTCTTGATCATCGCGTGATCGCTGGCTCACTTTGCACAGAGGGCTAAAACCAATTCCCAAAGTTTGAATATTAATCCTGGAGCAGCTTTTATCAGCTTCAGGCTCTCTGACAGCTCTCCACTGCACGTTGAAACCGCTCATGAGGAGGAAACGCAACGTACGGGGTATAATAGATGACATGCAGCGTGCAAAATGTTCAGCAAGCGTCTTCACTTTGAAAGATTGTTGAGATTATAAAGAATTACACCCAATTCGGTTTTCTTTCAAATGAAATCCTGCTGCATCTGGTGACGAAATGAAGCTCACACAATGACTGTCTGATTGTATTTAATACGCATTTAAAGCAACTATAAGCAAAGTTCATAAGCACAATTGTATCCCTGGTCATTTCTTTATCATGATTATAGGAAAGGAGATGGATTCCCTCCAAAAACGTCACTTTTTTGGACAGTATTTGCCCGTTGAGCATCAGAAGTACGTCTCGTTTTTTAATCAAACCCTATATTTTGATGGTGTTGGGGAAAGATGTGAGAATAAGCTGTAGGTGAGCTCACCTGAGTAAGGTCTGTCCAAAAGGAGAGACAGAAAGGAAGCAGAGGAAGAGTTAGGAGGTGTGCTGATGTTATTACAGGACAGAATAGAAGCAGTATAGTTAGTATGGAGAAAAGTAGTGTGTATAAGTACTTTTTAAGAATGGATAAAAGCAACCAGAGGTGGGAAGTAGTGGAGTACAAATACTTTGTTACTGTACATGTTTCTGGTATCAGTACTTTACTCCACTACTTATTGTTCTAGAAGTTTAGTCAGTACTTCTACTTTCACCAGAGTATTTTTAAACACGAGTATCTGTACTTCTACTTGAGTAAAGGATGTGTGTACTTCTACTTGAGTAAAGGATGTGTGTACTTCTACTTGAGTAAAGGATGTGTGTACTTCTACTTGAGTAAAGGATGTGTGTACTTCTACTTGAGTAAAGGATGTGTGTACTTCTGCTTGAGTAAAGGATGTGTGTACTTCTACTTGAGTAAAGGATGTGTGTACTTCTACTTGAGTAAAGGATGTGTGTACTTCTACTTGAGTAAAGGATGTGTGTACTTCTACTTGAGTAAAGGATGTGTGTACTTCTACTTGAGTAAAGGATGTGTGTACTTCTGCCTGAGTAAAGGATGTGTGTACTTCTACTTGAGTAAAGGATGTGTGTACTTCTGCTTGAGTAAAGGATGTGTGTACTTCTACTTGAGTACAGGATGTGTGTACTTCTGCTTGAGTAAAGGATGTGTGTACTTCTACTTGAGTAAAGGATGTGTGTACTTCTACTTGAGTACAGGATGTGTGTACTTCTGCTTGAGTAAAGGATGTGTGTACTTCTGCTTGAGTAAAGGATGTGTGTACTTCTACTTGAGTACAGGATGTGTGTACTTCTACTTGAGTACAGGATGTGTGTACTTCTACTTGAGTACAGGATGTGTGTACTTCTGCTTGAGTAAAGGATGTGTGTACTTCTACTTGAGTAAAGGATGTGTGTACTTCTACTTGAGTAAAGGATGTGTGTACTTCTACTTGAGTACAGGATGTGTGTACTTCTACTTGAGTACAGGATGTGTGTACTTCTGCTTGAGTAAAGGATGTGTGTACTTCTACCTGAGTAAAGGATGTGTGTACTTCTACTTGAGTAAAGGATGTGTGTACTTCTACTTGAGTACAGGATGTGTGTACTTCTGCTTGAGTAAAGGATGTGTGTACTTCTACTTGAGTAAAGGATGTGTGTACTTCTACTTGAGTAAAGGATGTGTGTACTTCTACTTGAGTAAAGGATGTGTGTACTTCTACTTGAGTAAAGGATGTACTTTTGCCTGAGTAAAGGATCTGTGTACTTTTACTTGAGTAAAGGATGTGTGTACTTCTACTTGAGTAAAGGATGTGTGTACTTCTACTTGAGTACAGGATGTGTGTACTTCTACTTGAGTAAAGGATGTACTTTTGCCTCTCTGAAAGCAACGTACCACAGAGTTTTCCGTCTTGATGGAGGTGACGTGCAGGTAGTCCTCTCTGCCACCGAGGGAGCTGTTGTCGGACATCTTGTCTTCCCCGTGGACTCGCTCTCGGTTTCCCGCCTCGTTCTCTCCGTTCTCTTTGGGCGCCGGCGGCCTCGGAGGCACGTCGCTGCGCTGCTTCTTGGTGACGTGAGCCTCCGGGCCGTGCACCGTCTTCACGTGTTTCCTCAGGGAACTCGGGTCCGTGTAGCGCTTTGTGCAGCCCGGGATCTTACAGACGTACGGTTTCTGCAACAACAAACACAGATAATGGTTTAAAAATTGGGATTTAGGTGCTAAAAAACATTAAGCAGCTTTATGGTCTTTCACTAGTCATGAAGTCATGTGACATCCCTGTATCTTTGTTATTCTGAACGCTTCGTTTTTCCTGAACAGAAAGACGTAGATTACTTTATTATGCATTACAGCGTTGAGGTTATACACGCATCTTTAAGTTAGCTCCGTGGTCCAGACGGGAAATGTAGGCACATTTTCTCATAGACTTCTATAAAATCAATCTGCTGGATGTGTGTGTGAAGTTTCCAGTGTGTTTCCAGTGTTTGTTCAGTACCTGGTTGGAGTGTGTGTGAGGGGTTTGTTCAGTATGGAGTGTGTGTGAGGGGTTTGTTCAGTATGGAGTGTGTGTGAGGGCGTGTTCAGTACCTCGTTGGAGTGTGTGTGAGGGGTTTGTTCAGTATGGAGTGTGTGTGAGGGGTTTGTTCAGTATGGAGTGTGTGTGAGGGGTTTGTTCAGTATGAGTGTGTGTGAGGGCGTGTTCAGTACCTCGTTGGAGTGTGTGTGAGGGCGTGTTCAGTACCTCGTTAGAGTGTGTGTGAGGGTGTGTTCAGTACCTCGTTGGAGTGTGTGTGAGGGCGTGTTCAGTACCTCGTTGGAGTGTGTGTGAGGGCGTGTTCAGTACCTCGTTGGAGTGTGTGTGAGGGCGTGTTCAGTACCTCGTTAGAGTGTGTGTGAGGGCGTGTTCAGTACCTCGTTAGAGTGTGTGTGAGGGTGTGTTCAGTACCTCGTTGGAGTGTGTGTGAGGGTGTGTTCAGTACCTCGTTAGAGTGTGTGTGAGGGGTGTGTTCAGTACCTCGTTAGAGTGTGTGTGAGGGGCGTGTTCAGTACCTCGTTAGAGTGTGTGTGAGGGTGTGTTCAGTACCTCGTTGGAGTGTGTGTGAGGGGTGTGTTCAGTACCTGGTTGGAGTGTGTGTGAGGGCGTGTTCAGTACCTCGTTAGAGTGTGTGTGAGGGGTGTGTTCAGTACCTCGTTGGAGTGTGTGTGAGGGTGTGTTCAGTACCTCGTTGGAGTGTGTGTGAGGGCGTGTTCAGTACCCTCGTTGGAGTGTGTGTGAGGGCGTGTTCCAGTACCTCGTTGGAGTGTGTGTGAGGGCGTGTTCAGTACCTCGTTAGAGTGTGTGTGAGGGTGTGTTCAGTACCTCGTTGGAGTGTGTGTGAGGGTGTGTTCAGTACCTCGTTAGAGTGTGTGTGAGGGTGTGTTCAGTACCTCGTTAGAGTGTGTGTGAGGGGCGTGTTCAGTACCTCGTTAGAGTGTGTGTGAGGGGTGTGTTCAGTACCTGGTTGGAGTGTGTGTGAGGGGTGTGTTCAGTACCTGGTTGGAGTGTGTGTGAGGGCGTGTTCAGTACCTCGTTGGAGTGTGTGTGAGGGTGTGTTCAGTACCTCGTTGGAGTGTGTGTGAGGGTGTGTTCAGTACCTCGTTAGAGTGTGTGTGAGGGGTGTGTTCAGTACCTCGTTGGAGTGTGTGTGAGGGCGTGTTCACTACCTGGTTGGAGTGTGTGTGAGGGCGTGTTCAGTACCTCGTTGGAGTGTGTGTGAGGGGTGTGTTCAGTACCTCGTTGGAGTGTGTGTGAGGGCGTGTTCACTACCTGGGTTGGAGTGTGTGTGAGGGCGTGTTCAGTACCTCGTTGGAGTGTGTGTGAGGGCGTGTTCAGTACCTCGTTGGAGTGTGTGTGAGGGCGTGTTCACTACCTGGTTGGAGTGTGTGTGAGGGTGTGTTCACTACCTGGTTGGAGTGTGTGTGAGGGCGTGTTCAGTACCTGGTTGGAGTGTGTGTGAGGGCGTGTTCAGTACCTCGTTGGAGTGTGTGTGTGAGGGCGTGTTCAGTACCTCGTTGGAGTGTGTGTGAGGGTGTGTTCAGTACCTCGTTGGAGTGTGTGTGAGGGCGTGTTCAGTACCTGGTTGGAGTGTGTGTGAGGGCGTGTTCAGTACCTCGTTGGAGTGTGTGTGAGGGCGTGTTCAGTACCTGGTTGGAGTGTGTGTGAGGGTGTGTTCAGTACCTCGTTGGGAGTGTGTGTGAGGGGTGTGTTCAGTACCTCGTTGGAGTGTGTGTGAGGGCGTGTTCAGTACCTCGTTGGAGTGTGTGTGAGGGCGTGTTCAGTACCTAGTTGGAGTGTGTGTGAGGGGTGTGTTCAGTACCTCGTTGGAGTGTGTGTGAGGGCGTGTTCACTACCTGGTTGGAGTGTGTGTGAGGGCGTGTTCAGTACCTCGTTGGAGTGTGTGTGAGGGCGTGTTCAGTACCTCGTTGGAGTGTGTGTGAGGGCGTGTTCAGTACCTCGTTGGAGTGTGTGTGAGGGCGTGTTCAGTACCTAGTTGGAGTGTGTGTGAGGGCGTGTTCAGTACCTCGTTGGAGTGTGTGTGAGGGCGTGTTCAGTACCTAGTTGGAGTGTGTGTGAGGGCGTGTTCAGTACCTCGTTGGAGTGTGTGTGAGGGCGTGTTCAGTACCCTCGTTGGAGTTGTGTGTATTGGAGGGCGTGTTTCACTACCTGGTTGGAGGTGGTGTGAGGGCGTGTTCACTACCCTGGTTGGAGTGTGTGTGAGGGCGTGTTCAGTACCTCGTTGGAGTGTGTGTGAGGGCGTGTTCAGTACCTCGTTGGAGTGTGTGTGAGGGCGTGTTCACTACCTGGTTGGAGTGTGTGTGAGGGCGTGTTCACTACCTGGTTGGAGTGTGTGTGAGGGCGTGTTCAGTACCTCGTTGGAGTGTGTGTGAGGGTTTGTTCAGTATGGAGTGTGTGTGAGGGCGTGTTCACTACCTCGTTGGAGTGTGTGTGAGGGCGTGTTCAGTACCTCGTTGGAGTGTGTGTGAGGGCGTGTTTCAGTACCTCGTTGGAGTGTGTGTGAGGGCGTGTTCAATACCTCGTTGGAGTGTGTGTGAGGGCGTGTTCAGTACCTCGTTGGAGTGTGTGCGGTTCTGGTGCTTGGCGCGGTCCGAGGCGTTGGAGAAGGCTTTGTTGCAGCCTTCGTGGTCGCAGACGTACGGCTTCTCTCCGGTGTGAGAGCGGAGGTGAGTCTTCAGGTTCTCCAGACGAGAGTACGCCTTACAGCAGCCCTCAAACTGCAGAACATACAGAGGAAGTTAGGAACAGTGTGAACATTTATCTGTCATTTTTTAAGGCTTTAAAATTAAAATAAATACTTGAAATGATGTATATTTAATTAATACAGAGGAAGCTAGGAAAAGTTTGACAGTCCCTTTACACGTGTGGGTGTGTGTGTTCAGAGTGTGTGTGTGTTACTGTGCACTTGTGTGGCTTCTCCCGTGTGTGTGTGTGTGTGTGTGTGTGTGTGTGTGTGTGTGTGTGTGTTTGTGTGTGTGTGTGTGTGTGTGTGTGTGTTACCGTGCACTTGTGTGGCTTCTCCCCCGTGTGTCTCCTCATGTGAACCACCAGCATGTACTGAGCTTTGAAGGGCTTCTGCTCCCGGGAACACTCGTCCCATCGGCACACAAACTCCTTCTTCTCTCCGTGGATGTGGTCATTATTGATGTGCTGCACACACACACACACACACACACACACACACACACACACACACACACACACACACACACACACACACACACACACACACACACACACACACACACACACACACACACACACACACACACACACACACACACACACACACACACACACACACACACACACACACACACACACGGAGAGAGAGAGAGAGAGGGATGAGAGACTCGTCCAGGCGCAGTAATTAGCATTGCGGACAGTAGACTAAATGAAATACTACGAGACGTTTTTTGTCCGTAATAGCGTCTTATCTTCTTTAAACAAGTGGCACACTGTCAGTGCAGTGTTTCAACAATTAATGTGTCATTTTCTACATTTAGATCCACTGCTTTGCCAAAAGAAATACGTTTCAGGACTCAAAAAAGACAGTGATAAAAAAGGATGTTTTTTATTCCCTTTGCTTTCAAACATTGAACCCTGTCTCCTAAGAAGGACGTCTCCGTACAATAAACTGCATCCTCTCCTGGATCACACTCCCACATTGTGAATTTAAACAACAAAACGACTTGGTTTGTTTTAGCTTTAAAAAAGTAGGTTTTTAACGGCATTAAGTTACGGATGTATAGATATCAGAAGGGGCTTTGTGTTTTCAGGTGAGATGGGGTCCGTCCAGATTACTGTAAATGTTGCCTTAGTTTTCCTGCTCACACTTAGGATGACTCCAGGAAAGACTGAACACAGATCCTTTCCCTATAATCTCATATACCTGAGAACAGTCTCCCTTATGCATGCTGACTTACTGCAAAACTGACGTGCACTCTATCTAAACTAAGACCCCTCAAAGTGCACGATATAGCATTTCCATTGCACTTTGTTGTTCAGAAAGACAGGAGAACTTCAGGGGAACTAGATATCAGAAGCTGCATCGTGCTTGTGTTTTATCTTGGTGTTCTGTCCTCTATGTTCCAGGTGTTTGCTCACGTGCACCAGCTGCTGCTGCGTGTCGTGCGTCTGGCTGCAGTTCTCCCACTGACAGTTCGTCTCGTACACGGCGTCCGGCTCCGCTTTGAAGTCGTCCCGCTCAGCGTCCTCCTTTAAGTCCAGGAAGCTGCCGAGGATCTGTGGAAAGAAAACGTGAGTTAGAGAGAAACTCAGAGGGGGGGAGTAGTGCAGTACAAATACTTTGTTACTGTACTTAAGTACATGTTTCTGGAATCAGTACTTTACTCCAATACTTATTTTTCTGACCACAACTCAAATACCTGTACTTTCTACTTCTTACACTTTGAACACAAATACCTGTACTTTCTACTTCTTACATGTTGAACACAAATACCTGTACTTTCTACTTCTCACATGTTGAACACAAATACCTGTACTTTCTACTTCTCACATGTTGAACACAAATACCTGTACTTTCTACTTCTTACATGTTGAACACAAATACCTGTACTTTCTACTTCTTACATGTTGAACACAAATACCTGTACTTTGTACTTCTTACATGTTGAACACAAATACCTGTACTTTCTACTTCTAACATGTTGAACACAAATACTTGTACTTTCTACTTCTTACATGTTGAACACAAATACCTGTACTTTCTACTTCTTACATGTTGAACACAAATACCTGTACTTTCTACTTCTTACATGTTGAACTCAAATACCTGTACTTTCTACTTCTTACATGTTGAACACAAATACCTGTACTTTCTACTTCTTACATGTTGAACACAAATACCTGTACTTTCTACTTCTTACATGTTGAACACAAATACCTGTACTTTCTACTTCTTACATGTTGAACACAAATACCTGTACTTTCTACTTCTTACATGTTGAACACAAATACCTGTACTTTCTACTTCTTACATGTTGAACACAAATACCTGTACTTTCTACTTCTTACATGTTGAACCCAAATACCTGTACTTCCTACTTCTTACATGTTGAACACAAATACCTGTACTTTCTACTTCTTACATGTTGAACACAAATACCTGTACTTTCTACTTCTTACATGTTGAACACTAATACCTGTACTTTCTACTTCTTACATGTTGAACACAAATACCTGTACTTTCTACTTCTTACATGTTGAACTCAAATACCTGTACTTTCTACTTCTTACATGTTGAACACAAATACCTGTACTTTCTACTTCTTACATGTTGAACCCAAATACCTGTACTTTCTACTTCTCACATTTCCCAAACAGGCTGGTTCCTTTAGTTTGAATGTGTGTTTGGTGGCGTGATCATTATTATTTAGAGTCATTGCGTGCCTATTGATTTGAACACGATCCGTGTATCCATCATTTCCTGGTCTTCTCTAAAGAAGAGGGACCAATGGAAACGTTGTCATGTTGCCGTTGTTCAGCATGGAAACATTCATTAGCTAACAATGACATTATTGTTCTATTAATATAAAGGGAGGTCAGGTACTCTTTAAAACAGCTGCTAGTTATGGGTACTTTTTACTGAAGTACATTTCAGAGTTCTTTACTTTGACTTGAGTAAAGAAGTTTAGTCAGTACTTCTACTTTCACCAGAGTATTTTTAAACACGAGTATCTGTACTTCTACTTGAGTGAAGATGTGTGTACTTCTGCCCTCTGGCCATTAATCTTCCTCCTCCTCTCTCTGAACATCTGCAACCGTTCACTGCCTCGTGTTTATCAGAGACAGTAAATTACAGATTGAGACGTTGCATCAGATTTGTTTTGACGTCCTCCCACACACACACACACACACCACACACACACACACACACACACACACACACACACACACACACACACACACACACACACACACACACACACACACACACACACACACACACACACACACACACACACACACACACACACACACACACACACACACACACACACACACAGCTGTCCTGTCATTACGCAGCGGGAGTCATGAGGACACAAACATTAGAATCCCACAACGTCCCTCTGTGTTTCTGCAGAGACCTTCAACCAATCAGAGTCAGAGGAACGTTCAGGAAACACTAACATCATATCCAGAAGTAAAGCCCATAACAGTTGGTATTAATGCCCCGACTTTTAAGGAAAAATGTCCTGAAATATATTCTTCATTTTAAGTCCCCTCATTTCTTAAAGTTTGCAAGTTACTAATATGTCTCTTTAAAATAAACTCACTTTCAATGCTGACCAAATTTAGCTCAAAATCTGTCAACGTTATGCTGCCTTTTTTAAACATCATCCCCATGTTTTAATATTGTCCTCAATCTCTTAAAAGGTCCTCACAATTAAAAAGGAAATCCTAACCTTTTAAAAATGTATTTACTTTCCCAAAAAGTCAATTCAATTCCTAAAAACTTTCTAAAAATGTCCAAATAAGTTAATTACAATTCTAAAAATGTCCTCACTATCCAAAGACATTTCCCCTTCCCTTACACCTCGTACAAAATAAATAAAAAACTATTCGAAAACATCCCTCCTGTACTTTCCTTAAGGTCCAGAAAACTCGCTTGATGTCTAAATCTCAGAGACAAAGAGCATGCACACACACACACACACACACACACACACACACACACACACACACACACACACACACACACACACACACACACACACACACACACACACACACACACACACACACACACACACACACACACACACACACACACAGTGCTGACTGCAGCATGTTCCCCCCCCCCTCATCACTCCTCGGCCCCCAGACGCTGCTCTCGCTGCAGATTTGTCAAAAGCAGCTCCGCACCATTTTTCATGGAAATGAAGCGCCGTGGCACAGTTTACACTAAAGGGGGGGGGGGGGGGGTTATCAGGAGGAGTTTCTGCTTTATAACATGAAGAGAGGGTGGGGGGAGAGGCTCCCGGGGGCCACAGGTCACAGCAGGGGGTCAGCAGAGAGGGATATCTGTAAAATGAACTCTTTATCCCAAAGCTCCATCTGATCGGCCCACTCCTCAGAGAGGGGCTTTATTCAGCACTTCACTCAGGACTTAGGCTTCATACAAATGTCTTTCTTACCATTTAATATACACCTTTACAAATGGTTTGGAATTCCCCCCCAAAAAATATGTTTGACTTTAGAAAATCTCCTCACTGTCTAACAATCCCTCACACTCGAGGAGGCAGGAAACACTGGGGCTAGGAAAGGAAGCATAGAGGGGAAGTAGATAAAGAAATGAGAAAGTACGAGGCGTGGAAGAAAGGAATAAGAGGGTAGGGAAGGAAATTAGGATGTAGGGACAAAAGAACAAGCAGCTAAGGAATGAAATGAGGCAAGGAAGCATGTTAGGAGGTAGGAGACAACATGGAGAGTTATAAAAGGTAAATTGAGGAGGGGTAGGAAGCAAGGAGAGGAAAGAGGGAAATAAATTAGAAAGTAGGAAACAAAACAAGGATGTGAGGAAGGAACCTGAGGAGGAGGTAGGGAAGGAAAGCCAGGGAGGATAAAGGAGACTAGGGAAGGGGAAGTAGGAAACCAACGTAGGGCAAAAAGGAAGTAGAGAAGGAAAGGTGAATGGAAGAAAATAGGTACACGTACAAAATATCTTTACATACCGGTGAACAGGGAGACAGCGGCCTAAGTCCCGCCCCCTCAGACTTGACCTTTGACCTCTTGGTGACGACGGGGTCCACGGTGCTGCTGACGGACGGGTCTCCTCCGTGGTTCTGAGGGGTTCATTATTCAAACATGTTTTTTTTTAACTGTAAAGATGCAGAATACATGTTTTATATGTTTGTGTTGTACCTTTGTGTTGAGGTCGCTGTGAGCGGAGGGGGGGGGGGCGGCTGCAGAACGAGGAGGGAGGATGCAAGAGAGGGGGGGTGTGTCCAAAAGCACCCAGACCCCCCCTCTGATGATGGGTGAGGAGGTGCTGGTAGCTGAGAGGAGTCAAGGGGTGAGGAAAGGGGAAGGAAGGGCTGCAGGAGGAGAGGAGGAAACATGTGAGGAAACATCAGAGTCACTTAGAGGAGGCAGGAAACACTGGGGCAGGAGGAGAGGAGGAAACAAGGAAATCAACAAGGAAACATCAAGAGTGAAGGAAACACATGGGGCAGGAGGAGAGGAGGAAACAAGGAAATCAACAAGGAAACATCAAGAGTGAAGGAAACACTGGGGCAGGAGGAGAGGAGGAAACAAGGAAATCAACAAGGAAACATCAAGAGTGAAGGAAACACATGGGGCAGGAGGAGAGGAGGAAACAAGGAAATCAACAAGGAAACATCAAGAGTGAAGGAAACACATGGGGCTGGAGGAGAGGAGGAAACAAGGAAATCAACAAGGAAACATCAAGAGTGAAGGAAACACATGGGGCAGGAGGAGAGGAGGAAACAAGGAAATCAACAAGGAAACATCAAGAGTGAAGGAAACACATGGGGCAGGAGGAGAGGAGGAAACAAGGAAACATCAAGAGTGAAGGAAACACATGGGGCAGGAGGAAACAAGGAAATCAACAAGGAAACATCAAGAGTGAAGGAAACACTGGGGCAGGAGGAAACGAGGATAGTGTGGCACACTATGCTGATGTGTGTTGCGTATATATGTTGTTCGTTGGTGTGTCGTGAAGAGAGCTGCACTAAATGTGGTCTTATTTCCCTCCAGGTGAGTTACCTGAGCCCCCCCACTGACAGGTGACCGTAGGAGGGAGAGTTGTTGATGTAGGCGACCAGCGAGCTGGGCGACGTTCGGATCATCGTGTGCAGATCGATGCTGCCGTCAGAGAGCGGAGAGACTGACATCGCTCGCTTCCTGCCGAGACGAGGAGTCAGTCTGGGCCCCGAGAACCGAGAGACTACAACACAGGTGAGAGGACAGGTGTGGTTCATAAAAGAGTCGTTCAAAAACTACAACACAGGTGAGAGGACAGGTGTGGTTCATAAAGAGTCGTTAAAAAACTACAACACAGGTGAGAGGACAGGTGTGGTTCAAAAACTACAACACAGGTGAGAGGACAGGTGTGGTTTAAAAACTACAACACAGGTGAGAGGACAGGTGTGGTTCATAAAGAGTCGTTCAAAAACTACAACACAGGTGAGAGGACAGGTGTGGTTCATAAAGAGTCGTTCAAAAACTACAACACAGGTGAGAGGACAGGCGTGGTTCATAAAGAGTCGTTCAAAAACTACAACACAGGTGAGAGGACAGGTGTGGTTCATAAAGAGTCGTTCAAAAACTACAACACAGGTGAGAGGACAGGTGTGGTTCAAAAAGAGTCGTTCAAAAACTACAACACAGGTGAGAGGACAGGTGTGGTTCATAAAGAGTCGTTCAAAAACTACAACACAGGTGAGAGGACAGGTGTGGTTCAAAAACTACAACACAGGTGAGAGGACAGGTGTGGTTCAAAAAGAGTCGTTCAAAAACTACAACACAGGTGAGAGGACAGGTGTGGTTCATAAAGAGTCGTTCAAAAACTAAATCTCCGTAACTAAAGAACTACATTTCCCAGAGAGAACTGAGAAACTACAACACAGGTGAGAGGACAGGTGTAGTTTAATGTAGAGTCTTTTATAAGAAAACTACATTTCCCAAGGACAGGACTGTTTGTCACTAGAATAACAAATGTGGATTCATCCGCCGCTGAAAATAGTCCTGAACGAATGACGTTTTTCATTCCGTTTGTTAAGAGCCTTAAATCTGCGTATTTTAGACGTAGACTCCCCTCTCCTCGATCTCCTCGATCTCCTCGACCTCCTCGATCTCCTCGACCTCCTCGATCTCCTCCTCAATCAATGCAGTGCAAATCGGCCTCATTAAACACAGCTGTTTATCTGCTCTGATTACAGGATCAGTGAGAGATCGATTAGTAATGTCTGAATGCTAATGGACTCGCCACATGTGCTGCTCAAAGGCACGTTGATGGCGTTGTGATTGTTTCTCAGACTCCAGTCGTGTTTCTTTGGTCTCTTGTGGATGATGTTAGTGTCTCTGCGTCTCTCCCAGACTCACTGCGTCTCAGACAGATTAATCCTCGTTTCCTAAAGACGTGTTTCTAAAGATATCTGAAAGCTCACATGCGTCCTGGGACGTGAAGCGATGATTTAACACGTGCACGCGGCACTAATTCAGACATTTAAGCAGCTGAAGTTCAAGTGTGTGTGTGTGTGTGTGTGTGTGTGTGTGTGTGTGTGTGTGTGTGTGTGGGGGCAGGTGTGTGTTCCCCCCCCTCTCCTCTGGGGAGATGTGTTTATTAATGTGCCGCTTCCCCTGATGAATGGACCAATAGAAAGCCTCGCTTCCTCCATTGTGATTTATATCAGCCGCCAGCACTGAATGAAAGTGTGTGTGTTAAGGGAAGGAGGGAGGAAGGAAGGAAGGGAGGGAGGTAGGAAGGGAGGGAGGGAGTAAGGAAGGGAGGGAGGAAGGAAGGGAGGGAGGTAGGAAGGGAAGGAGTAAGGAAGGGAAGGAGAAAGGAAGGAAAGGAGAAAGGGAGGAAAGGAGAAAGGGAGGTAGGGAGAGTAAGGAAGGGAGGGAGGTAGGAAGGGAGGGAGTAAGGGAAGGAGGGAGGAAGGGAAGGAGAAAGGAAGGAAAGGAGAAAGGGAGGTAGAGAGTAAGGAAGGGAGGGAGGGTAGGAAAGGAGGGGAGTAAGGAAGGGAGAAAGGAAGGGAGGGAGTAAGGAAGGGAGAAAGGAAGGGAGGGAGTAATGAAGGAAGGGAGGGAGGTAGGAAGGGAGGGAGAGTCTTTTAAAGACATCGTGGGCTTTGGGAATCCACCTGTCTTGCTATTCTCTGATATGTTATAAACTGAAAGACTGCATTGAATCATATAACATCACCAATGGAAATAATATTAAATTGCAGCTTTAATGGAACTTTATTTTGAAGAATGTGCATCAAAACGTGTTCATGATCACGTGTCACCTAGGTTGTGGAAAATGTAGATTTAAATGTAACTTTCTCCGTGTGCAAACCCTAGATTCAGGACTTGATGCATGCAGCGTCCTCTGAAGCCGATTAAAGCTTCATTTGTATTATTATTACAGTCTGAAAGTCACCTGTGTGTTCATAGAGGAGCCGCTGTGTGAAGAGCTGCAGCATTAAACATTCAGTCTTTTCATCAGACCGGACTTCCCCATGCTCAGAACGTGTCCTTTAAATACTAAATACGTGAAAGTATGCATTGAGTTTCTGCAGAGACGTTATCTGCTGCCTCACAGAGCCTTACATTCAGATACAGACATTACACAGTAGGTTTGGTGCAGCCAGAGCAGAGGGTAAGAAAGAGGCAAACAAGTGCTAACATCAACTGAAAGTGGATAAGAGGCTGAAAAGAGTTAATAGAGGTTAAAACAGGCTAAATTAGTGTAAAAGAGACAACATATGATGAAAGTGTCCAAAAGGGTATACAAGGGACAAAACATGTCTTAACGTATCTCTAAAATGTGTCTAAAGGGAGGTAAGAAGAAGCTAAAAATTGCTTTAAAGAATGGCTAGAAGAAGCTAAAAATTGCCAAAAAGTATCTTTAAAATCAGACAGGAGGTAAAAAGAGGGAATAAAAGCAGTTTGACTCACCCTCCATGGGGGAGATATATTCGGCCCCCACTCCTCCCCCCCCCAGCAGCAGATCTCCATAATAAGGGCTGCGATGACTCATCAGGTGGTAAAACTCAGCAGGAGGGGGGGGGGGCGAAAAGACCTCGATCCTTCAGGTGCTCCACGGCCACTGAGGAGAGAGAGAGTTAATAAGTAAAGGGGGAGAGGAGAGAGGGAGTTAATAACTACTTGTCGTGTAGTCGTGTTGTCGTGTTGTCGTGTTGTCGTGTTGCCGTGTAGCCGTGTTGCCGTGTAGCCGTGTTGCCGTGTAGCCGTGTAGCCGTGTAGCCGTGTAGCCGTGTTGCCGTGTAGCCGTGTTGCCGTGTTGCCGTGTAGCCGTGTAGCCGTGTAGCCGTGTAGCCGTGTAGCCGTGTTGCCGTGTAGCCGTGTTGCCGTGTAGCCGTGTTGCCGTGTTGCAGTGTTGCCGTGTAGCCGTGTAGCCGTGTCGTCGTGTCGTCGTGTAGCCGTGTCGTCGTGTCGCCGTGTCGCCGTGTCGCCGTGTCGCCGTGTCGCCGTGTAGCCGTGTTGCCGTGTTGCCGTGTAGTCGTGTCGTCGTGTAGTGTGTTGCCGTGTAGTCGTGTCGCCGTGTAGCCGTGTTGCCGTGTTGCCGTGTAGTCGTGTCGTCGTGTAGTGTGTTGCCGTGTAGCCGTGTTGTCGTGTAGCCGTGTTGCGTGTAGCCGTGTTGCCGTGTTGCCGTGCAGCCGTGTAGCCGTGTTGCCGTGCTGCCGTGTTGCCGTGTTGCCGTGTAGTCGTGTAGCCGTGTCGTCGTGTAGCCGTGTCGTCGTGTCGTCGTGTCGTCGTGTAGTCGTGTAGTCGTGTCGTCGTGTAGTGTGTTGCCGTGTAGTCGTGTTGTCGTGTTGTCGTGTTGCGTGTAGCCGTGTTGCCGTGTTGCCGTGTAGCTGTGTTGCCGTGTTGTTGTGTAGCCGTGTCGTCGTGTAGCCGTGTCGTTGTGTCGTCGTGTCGCCGTGTAGTCGTGTAGTCGTGTAGTCGTGTAGCCGTGTCGTCGTGTCGTCGTGTCGCCGTGTAGTCGTGTAGTCGTGTAGTCGTGTCGTCGTGTAGTGTGTTGCCGTGTAGTCGTGTAGTCGTGTAGTCGTGTCGTCGTGTAGTGTGTTGCCGTGTAGTCGTGTAGCCGTGTCGTCGTGTCGTCGTGTCGCCGTGTAGTCGTGTAGTCGTGTAGTCGTGTCGTCGTGTAGTGTGTTGCCGTGTAGTCGTGTAGTCGTGTAGTCGTGTCGTCGTGTAGTGTGTTGCCGTGTAGTCGTGTAGCCGTGTCGTCGTGTCGTCGTGTCGCCGTGTAGTCGTGTAGTCGTGTCGTCGTGTAGTGTGTTGCCGTGTAGTCGTGTTGTCGTGTTGTCGTGTTGCGTGTAGCCGTGTTGCCGTGTTGCCGTGTTGTCGTGTAGTCGTGTAGTCGTGCCGTCGTGTTGTCGTGCAGTCGTGTTGCCGTGTAGCCGTGTTGCCGTGTTGCAGTGTAGCCGTGTTGCCGTGTAGCCGTGTTGTCGTGTAGTCGTGCCGTCGTGTTGTCGTGTTGCCGTGTTGCCGTGTTGCAGTGTAGCCGTGTTGCCGTGTAGTCGTGTAGTCGTGTTGTCGTGTTGCCGTGTAGCCGTGTTGCCGTGTAGCCGTGTTGTCGTGTAGTCGTGCCGTCGTGTTGTCGTGCAGTCGTGTTGCCGTGTTGCAGTGTAGCCGTGTTGCCGTGTAGTCGTGTTGTCGTGCAGTCGTGTTGCCGTGTTGCAGTGTAGCCGTGTTGCCGTGTTGCCGTGTAGCCGTGTTGCCGTGTTGTCGTGCAGCCGTGTAGCCGTCTTGCCGTGCAGCCGTGTTGCCGTGTAGTCGTGTAGTCGTGTTGTCGTGTTGCCGTGTAGCCGTGTTGCCGTGTAGTCGTGTTGTCGTGTTGCCGTGTAGCCGTGTTGTCGTGCAGCCGTGTTGCCGTGTAGCCGTGTTGTCGTGCAGCCGTGTTGCCGTGTAGCCGTGTAGCCGTGTTGCCGTGTTGCCGTGTAGCCGTGTAGCCGTGTTGCCGTGTAGCCGTGTTGTCGTGCAGCCGTGTAGCCGTGTAGCCGTGTTGCCGTGTAGCCGTGTTGCCGTGTTGTCGTGCAGCCGTGTTGCCGTGTTGTCGTGCAGCCGTGTTGCCGTGTAGCCGTGTTGCCGTGTTGTCGTGCAGCCGTGTTGCCGTGTAGCCGTGTTGTCGTGCAGCCGTGTTGCCGTGTAGCCGTGTTGCCGTGTAGCCGTGTTGCCGTGTTGTCGTGCAGCCGTGTTGCCGTGTAGCCGTGTTGTCGTGCAGCCGTGTAGCCGTGTAGCCGTGTTGTCGTGTAGCCGTGTTACCGTGTTGTCATGTTGCCGTGTAGTCGTGTAGTCGTGTTGTCGTGTTGCCGTGTAGTCGTGTAGCCGTGTTGTCTTGTTGTCATCTTTCAGTCACTTTTTGAGTCATTTTCTGTATTTTGTAATGAAGCGTCACTTCCTGTCCATTTTGTCTCTTTATGGGTTTCTATTGTAAAGTTAAGATTATATGTTGCACTAAATGACCTAAAAATGAGTTTTATTCCACCACATTTCCCCCAAATGTAATTTCCACTTCTCTTGGAGGTCATTAAAAGTATTTTGGAGGTCATTAAGTGTCTCTTTCTGGTCCTTAAGTGTCTCTTTCTGGTCCTTAAGTGTCTCTTGGTGTCTCTTTCAGGTCATTTAGTGTCTCTTTCAGGTCATTAAGTGTCTCTTGGTGTCTCTTTCAGGTCATTAAGTGTCTCTTGGAGGTCATTAAGTGTCTCTTGGTGTCTCTTTCAGGTCATTAAGTGTCTCTTGGTGTCTCTTTCAGGTCATTAAGTGTCTCTTGGAGGTCATTAAGTGTCTCTTGGTGTCTCTTTCAGGTCATTAAGTGTCTCTTTCAGGTCATTAAGTGTCTCTTGGAGGTCATTAAGTGTCTCTTGGTGTCTCTTTCAGGTCATTAAGTGTCTCTTGGTGTCTCTTTCAGGTCATTAAGTGTCTCTTGGTGTCTCTTTCAGGTCATTTAGTGTCTCTTTCAGGTCATTAAGTGTCTCTTGGAGGTCATTAAGTGTCTCTTGGTGTCTCTTTCAGGTCATTAAGTGTCTCTTGGTGTCTCTTTCAGGTCATTAAGTGTCTCTTGGTGTCTCTTTCAGGTCATTAAGTGTCTCTTGGTGTCTCTTTCAGGTCATTAAGTGTCTCTTGGAGGTCATTAAGTTAACCCCAAATGTAATTTCCACCTCTTAAACTCCCCACTATATTGACAGAAATAAATATATGACAGACATGATGACAGAGCTCCTCACGTTCTGCAGGGCTGAGTCCTCTGGCTGCAGAGATCATGGAGAGGGAGGGGCGCAGGAACTGCTCCATGTGGGGGGGGGAGGAAGGGGTGAGGAGGGCTGAACGGGGAGTCAGAGGGCGAGAGGCGGATCAGGGACACGTCCGAGAGACCTGTGGGACTGGGGGAGACAAAGGGAGAGACAACAGGTTAAAGAGGGACTACTTTCTGCGGCGGAGTAATCCACGTATGGTGCTAATAGTTAATTTAGGGCTTTTAAGGTTTGGATCACTTTTGTAGTCATTTAACGTTCATTTTGTGTCATTTTTGGTCGTTTTATAACTCTCTGTAGAATGTTTGGCATTGCTGGTATTGCTGTGTTTAATATTTAGGCGTGCAAATAAGAAAGTTAGCAAGCTTCCAAGTGTTTATGTTATCCCGACAACAGGTCATCGGTTTATAACGATGAAACACAGAAACATCCGCGCATTAGGCGACGCTGCAAATGTGGGATTTTAGGAGATACAGCACGAGGAGTAACTGTACCTGAGGTGTGTGTGTGTGTGTGAGAGAGCGTGTGTGTGTGTGTGTGTGTGTGTGTGTGTGTGTGATGGATTGCAGTGTGACAGTGAGTGTGTCTCCGGTGTCGGCTCGCTCTGATTTAGATAAATCACAGCGTCCAGCGTGCGGCGGGATAAACTCCCACTGTATGTTATGAGTCACACACACACACACACACACACACACACACACACACACACACACACACACACACACACACACACACACACACACACACACACACACACACACACACACACACACACACACACACACACACACACGCTCTCTCACACACACACACACACACACACACACACACACACACACACACACGCTCTCCACACACACACACACACACACACACACCACACACACACACACACACACACACACACACACACACACACACACACACACACACACACACACACACACACACACACACACACACACACACACACACACACACACACACACACACACACACACACACACACACACACAGAGGCAGAAATGACCTACATACAAACAAACAGAGCTGCAAATCATGGCCTCCTTTAAACTCATTTCATGCTTTCTGTGAAGCCACTCGGACGTCTCCTCTCTGCGTGTTTGCATTAAAGGACGCGTCTCAAATGACCTGTAAAACACGGCAGCATGAAACACAAGAATAGGCCATGATTTTGTCTAAAATAAAGAGTGAATAGTAGATATTTAGAGGCAGATAAAGCATGACGTCAGCGTGTGTTTAATGTATTCGTTACAGCGTCTTTCAGAAAACACAAGTAATCAGCAGGAATGATCTCCTTTTTGCTTCGAACTTTTTTCCCCACCTCCAGTGTTTCCTCCTCTTCCTCATGAGGATGAATCGCTGCAGGATAAAGAGCTTCCTTTATGACAGGCGTGACACAATACCCCCCCCCCTCATTATGGGGTATGCAAACAGCGAGGCGTGTGGATGTCATGTTAGACATTTGGGGTTTTTCCCCGTGACACGGTGCTAACAAAGTGGCTCTCAGGGCCCGGAGTGACACGCCACTTAATTTGCTGCGCAGTGTTCCTGTAATTAAGGTGAATTTGGTGGGAGCGACAGGCTGATCAGGGTCTTGATGAATTAGGGGTCCAGTGTCAAGATCAAATCACATTAATCAAGGTGGCCGAGAGGCGCCGACAGACCCCCTCTCCCCCCTCTCCCTCTCTCTCTTTTCCCCGTGTGATGAATAGCCCTGCTGCGGCCGGGCGGGATGTATGCATCACCATCAGAGAGAGAATCTGAATGTGAGAGCGCACCCTGAGATTATTGACTTCCTCTGTCCAGGCACCACTTTTCCTCCGTGATAAAGTAACTGGAAGTGTGCCACGGACTCAGCAGTACGCCGGAGAAAAGAGAAAAATGAGGTTTGCACCAGGTTTTAAAACCCAGTGTTCATGCAGAAAGTCCCTGGTGTTGAAACACAGCTGAACCTGAGCCTTCTGTGTTCTTGCTGTGACTTTTTGGGGTGAATTATTTGTCTCCGAGGTCATTTTGTGTCTTCTTTTAGAATCATTTTCTGTATTCTTGTAGAAATTGGGTCATTTTTTGTTCGTTTTTTGTATTCCATGTTCAGCTGTGTTTTCTATCCAATAAACAACACAAATATACAAAATGTAAACATAGGAAACTATTTATAATAATTCTATTCTGTAAAAGTATTTCATTTCATATAAAAACCATACATGTTTTACACTTTGAAGTTAGGAGCAAAGCAAAGGAGGTAGATTACATGTTACTTGTATATTTTATAGCTTCTGATTTTGTGTCAAATGTAGTTTTTCTAAATGCATGTTTTCCAAATCAAATGTAACCCTAACATCTCGTGAAAGCACCGTAACGCACTTTCCTTCCTGCACCTGCGAGTCTTTCTTCACGCGTTCCAAACCTCTCAGCGCTCTTTTTAACGGACACATCTTTCCTTTCCGAAGCCCTCAAAGCCTCGGCTGCAAAGAGTAATGTTTCCAACCGTACCCTGAGACTGTTATCACCCCGAACACGGAGTGAAACAAATGGGGTCTGCTTCCTGACCTCTCTGTAATTATCCGTTAGCCTGCAGCGCTTCAGATTATCTTCACAACAGAAAGGTGAATTCACAGCTGTTATTTCACCGTGATGGAGCCCTGCTCGCTGGAGAGAGGTTCATTTCTGTTTCAAATCATCCGGGAGAGAGGCGGAAGAAGAAACACGCTTTTAACCCCAACGCAACCATTTGGGAACATTTTGTGTCTTTTTTCAGTCTTGGTTGATTTCTATTCTGTAAACCGTTTGATTTCTTGTCAGTTTTCTAAATAACACTTTAGATTAAGGTACACATATTCACCATCATCTGGTTGTTCATTAACATATTAGAGTCAAACTACTAGCTTATTGGTTATGAACATGACTTTCAAAATAGGTTTGAGTTAGAAACACCACATTTTGAGTTATCTAGACAGAAATAACACTTGTTCATGTCTTGTTACATAAGAACAGATCATAGTGTTATTATGGGAGAATGCCTTATTAGGCCCATATGGAGCATATTGTACAACAACGTCCTTACGTGCAATCAATCAGCACTATTTAGAGCAGGGGTGTCAAACTCAAGGCCCGGGGGCCAAATCCGGCCCACGACTTCATTTCATGTGGCCCACAAGAGCTCTGCAAGAATATAATATGTTTATTATACGGTTACATGCCGCTTTACAGAAGCACGTTGCCCATAAACTACATGTCCCACAATGCATCTCAAACTTTACTTTTTTCTCCGAATTTGACTTTTTTTTCAACATTTCACTATTTTTTCTCAAAATTGTAATTTTTTTTTTCTCCAGAATTTGGCTTTTCTTTTGAAATGTTATTGTAACATTCTCACTGAAGAGACTTGCAATTATTTGCCCTAGACTTCTGCTTTCAGACGTAGTTAATTATGAAGTTATTACCCTATCTGATAATAATCCAATGCAGAGGCAATCATGTAATAACACATATTTTATATATGTTAAATATTTATATATGTATTTTTATACAGTCTTAAAGTTACAACCGGCCCTTTGAGTGCAGCCATAATGCTGATGTGGCCCGCGATAAAATTGAGTTTGACACCCCTGATTTAGAGGGTTATAATTAACTAACTAATGGTTTAGTACTTGTAGAATAAGGTCATGTAGAATAAGGCATTAATAAGTGTTTTATAATGACTAATAAAGAGCCAATATGCTGATAATATGCATGTTAATGGGTTACTTATTTGATGGCTATATATTTTCATTAGATCTTGCCTGTCTGGATTTTTTTGGGGAAAAACTATCATTAATCAGCATAAACGCATAAACGCATAAACGGACTAAATGTATCACCAACATGACGTTTTTATTTTCTGTTCGTTTTAAATGTAAGTGTTTTTGGTGTAAAATGTGATAAAATGACTCCATAAATATTTGAAATTAGACGGAAAAGAGTTGAAAAATATGGAATGCCGTTTAAGCCAAAATTAAATAATTAAATAAATATAAATGTAATGAAATAAAAGTTCCATGAAATAAAATAAATGTGTATTTAAATATATGTATTGCCTCTTCATAGGCATATGTATTTATATATGTATTTATTTAATTATCTATGTATTTATGTATCACTACGACAGTGTTGTGTATCTGCTTCTCAGAGCCGTGTTCACTGTGTGTTTCTTGATCTGCAAAGAGAGGACTCTCAGATTCTCCCACAGAGTCGACTTCAGACTCCTCAAACCATCAGAGAGTCTGAATCCTCTGAGTCAAACTGAGCGGGAAACAAGTCGCTCTGATACTGATTTCATTTTATCATTTGATCAGACAGCGTGGAGTCATCTCATCACAAACTGCACCTCCTGCAGAGCTGCATGTAGTCAAGAGAGATATACTAACTAACATCTGTGAGGTGTAGTAAACAGTCACCTCCTGCAGAGTCACTACCGTACTGTATATGTAAGGTGTGCAGATTCTTACCCGTGCATGTGGTTGATGTTGTGCGGCTCGTAGTGGTATCGGCCCTCGTGGTGCCGCATGTCGATGGGGATGGGGGTGTGGAAGGAGGGGAAGATGTGGTGGTGAGGCGCTGCGAGGAGAAGCAGAGTCAGACATTTGAACCATGAAGCACTTTGTGTGTTAAAAGATATCTGCTCTGGATCACAGGAGAGGAGAGAGGGAGATAAATAAGTCATCAAAAGATCCGCAGAAAATCCTACATCTCCAGACCTCCAGCAGAGCCCCCGACAAAGAGCTCACACACACACACACACACACACACACACACACACACACACACACACACACACACACACACTGCAGGGTCAGCTGTCAACGTTTCTATAAACCGTTTGATTCCTCGTCAGTTTTCTGAATTCTTCTTGTTGTTTCCGTTCATTTATTTATGATCCTTTTTTTCCTGTGTGTTTTCAGGCTCGGAGAGGAACTGTCCTCCTTCTTCTTCTTCTGCTGCTGCTGCTGCTGCTGCTGCTCCACCAGGTGAGAGGATCACAAGGGAATATTACAGTTTTACACGTCTGAAGAGTAAGGGGCAAAGCAAACAATGAACATCTGAGAAAAAGAGGCCGAGATATCCTGACTTTTAAAGCTTAGTTTGCTGCTAACCTCCAAAAACACTGCAAACTACATTTCCCATAATGCAACTTGATAGTGTCTCTACTTTAAAGAGTCCTCTCCTGCTGATGTTCAGGTGTATATCAGTATATAGTGTCTCTACTTTAAAGAGTCCTCTCCTGCTGATGTTCAGGTGTATATCAGGATGTAGTGTCTCTACTTTAAAGAGTCCTCTCCTGCTGATGTTCAGGTGTATATCAGTATGTAGTGTCTCTACTTTAAAGAGTCCTCTCCTGCTGATGTTCAGGTGTATATCAGTGTGTAGTGTCTCTACTTTAAAGAGTCCTCTCCTGCTGATGTTCAGGTGTATATCAGTATGTAGTGTCTCTACTTTAAAGAGTCCTCTCCTGCTGATGTTCAGGTGTATATCAGTATGTAGTGTCTCTACTTTAAAGAGTCCTCTCCTGCTGATGTTCAGGTGTATATCAGTATGTAGTGTCTCTACTTTAAAGAGTCCTCTCCTGCTGATGTTCAGGTGTATATCAGTATGTAGTGTCTCTACTTTAAAGAGTCCTCTCCTGCTGATGTTCAGGTGTATATCAGTATGTAGTGTCTCTACTTTAAAGAGTCCTCTCCTGCTGATGTTCAGGTGTATATCAGTATGTAGTGTCTCTACTTTAAAGAGTCCTCTCCTGCTGATGTTCAGGTGTATATCAGTATGTAGTGTATCTACTTTTAAAGAGTCCTCTCCTGCTGATGTTCAGGTGTATATCAGTATGTAGTGTCTCTACTTTAAAGAGTCCTCTCCTGCTGATGTTCAGGTGTATATCAGTATGTAGTGTCTCTACTTTAAAGAGTCCTCTCCTGCTGATGTTCAGGTGTATATCAGTATGTAGTGTCTCTACTTTAAAGAGTCCTCTCCTGCTGATGTTCAGGTGTATATCAGTATGTAGTGTCTCTACTTTAAAGAGTCCTCTCCTGCTGATGTTCAGGTGTATATCAGTATGTAGTGTCTCTACTTTAAAGAGTCCTCTCCTGCTGATGTTCAGGTGTATATCAGTATGTAGTGTCTCTACTTTAAAGAGTCCTCTCCTGCTGATGTTCAGGTGTATATCAGTATGTAGTGTATCTACTTTAAAGAGTCCTCTCCTGCTGATGTTCAGGTGTATATCAGTATGTAGTGTCTCTACTTTAAAGAGTTCTCTCCTGCTGATGTTCAGGTGTATATCAGTATGTAGTGTCTCTACTTTAAAGAGTCATCTCCTGCTGATGTTCAGGTGTATATCAGTATGTAGTGTCTCTACTTTAAAGAGTCCTCTCCTGCTGATGTTCAGGTGTATATCAGTATGTAGTGTCTCTACTTTAAAGAGTCCTCTCCTGCTGATGTTCAGGTGTATATCAGTATGTAGTGTCTCTACTTTAAAGAGTCCTCTCCTGCTGATGTTCAGGTGTATATCAGTATGTAGTGTCTCTACTTTAAAGAGTCCTCTCCTGCTGATGTTCAGGTGTATATCAGTATGTAGTGTCTCTACTTTAAAGAGTCCTCTCCTGCTGATGTTCAGGTGTATATCAGTATGTAGTGTCTCTACTTTAAAGAGTCCTCTCCTGCTGATGTTCAGGTGTATATCAGTATGTAGTGTCTCTACTTTAAAGAGTCCTCTCCTGCTGATGTTCAGGTGTATATCAGTATGTAGTGTCTCTACTTTAAAGAGTCCTCTCCTGCTGATGTTCAGGTGTATATCAGTGTGTAGTGTCTCTACTTTAAAGAGTCACAAACTGGAAGCTGAGTCACGTTATAAATCCTCCAAACCCCCTTTCTTTGTCCCTGTTAGGACCTGTCTTCCGGCCCCTGAGGGTCCCCCTGAGGGTCCCCCTGAGGGGTTTTGGGGCCTTATTCCATCACTTAGACAGATCCATTGTTGTTCTGCGGCTGAAGAACAAAAGGAAAAGCTCAGGAGGGATCAACAGGTGCATTTACCTGACCCCCTCCCCCCCCCCTCCATTAGTCTCTGCCGGGGGACATGCACTTCCTCTTAGTCAGATCATAATACGTACGAGGCTGATGACACACATTTAGTGTCTGATATCGTCTGAAAGCCAGAGTTATGAGGGAAAGTGGATGTTTTTGGGCTTTCTTTGGTCCCTAGCTGGATGTCCTTTATTTGATATGTTTGTCTTCAAAACGTTGCATTTCTTCGTTTCCCTTTATATTTCTACATCGTATTAACTGTGATTAGTTGTTAAATTAGCCTCTGCAGTCGGCTCGTTAGCTGCTATGATGCTGATAACACACTGATATCGTCTAAAAGCCAGATTCATGAGGGAAAGTGGATGTTTTTGGGAAAGTGGATGTTTTTGGGAAAGTGGATGTTTTTGGGCTTTCTTACGGACCGTCCACACAGCAGCGTTAAAAAAATCTTGAAACGCTTCTGCCCATTCACTTTGAATGGGGTGACGTCACTTTGCCTCACTTTTCGCCGAACTGCATTGTGGGAAGCAGAGCGGAGATTTTCAGGATTTTCAGGATTCAAAGTTGAGCAATGTTCAACTTTTGAAGCTGAGGTGGAAGCGTCAGCCAATCAAATCCCGTTTATGCAAATCTGACAGTTCAAGCGCTAGCCAATCAAACGGCGTGTATGCTGGGAGAGACATACCGCAGGTCATTTCCTCATATTCCAAAACATGGAGGAGAAATTAGCGGTAGGGAATCACCCGGTGCTTTATGACCTGTCCCTATTTACCTACCGGGATACAAACCGGAGGAGCCAGGCATGGAGGGAGGTGGCAGAGACAGTGGTAGGTTTTCTCCTGTTTGGGGAGTTTATATCCAGTTTACTTCGGGCTTTTTTGCTTCGTATGTCGGGGGCGGGAGATTCATGTGATTGGTTGTTCGCAAAAAATCCCCAAGCTTCAGATACGCCCACCTCCAAGATTTTTTTAACGCTGCTGTGTGGACGGGCCGTCACAGATTTTTCCTCAATATGTTGCGTTCAGTTTTCCGGGTTGTTTCAGTTTACATTTCTCACCTTGCATGAACAGATGATGGACCTGCTACAGTAGCATGTGCAGTCCGCTCGTTAGCTCCATATGGACGAGGCTGAAAGCGCACTTTAAGCATATGAATACTACCTGTGGTGCGTCACTCTAAATCTTCCCCCTTTGTTTCCTGTGCAGCCTCTCTCATTAAGGCGTCACAATGATAGTCCTACAGATGCGAAAAGGAACTGGGTCTTTGTTTATCTCCAGTAACTGGGTGAGGGGGGGGTGATATGGATGTTTTTTGGGGGTTGTTGTGACAACGGCTTTAATTCACAGTGTTTTAATTATCTCCCGCCCTCCTCCATCACACGCAGCTAATACACTTTAAGGTAATCACTTAATCTGGACTGTGTGTTAAGCAGAGCTATTAGGAGCGGGGCCATAAATCAGAGAGAGCACTGCGCCGCGGGGCCATCACTCTTTACGCTAACCGCATGCTAACAACATGCTAACAACATGCTAACAACATGCTAACAACGATGCATGGAGCTTATTAGAGAGCCATGATAAGTGAGGCTGCAGCCCAGCATACAGGGGACCAAAGAAAGCCCCAAAAACATCCACTTTCCCCTCATAAATCTGGCTTTTAGACGCAGTGTGTCATCAGCCTCGTAGCAGCTAACGAGCCGACTGCACATGCTAGTTTATCATCTGATCACAGTTAATACGATGTAGAAATATAAAGGGATACGATGAAATGCAACGTTTTGAAATCAAACATATAGTTTTAGGAAACAAAACAAATGACTGCTGATGTTTACTAAAGATCTGCAGGGGAAAGCCGCCTTTTAAAAACAACAACGATGGGTTATTGTACGTCACAGGGACATTTAAAACAGCAGAAAGCGGTCCAGACTATCACCTGAAACATATAAACTACACTTCTTACATGTTGAACCCAAATACCTGTACTTTCTACTTCTTACATTTTGAACTCAAATACCTGTACTTTCTACTTCTTACATGTTGAACACAAATACCTGTACTTTCTACTTCTTACATGTTGAACACAAATACCTGTACTTTCTACTTCTCACATGTTGAACCCAAATACCTGTACTTTCTACTTCTTACATGTTGAACCCAAATACCTGTACTTTCTACTTCTTACATTTTGAACTCAAATACCTGTACTTTCTACTTCTTACATGTTGAACCCAAATACCTGTACTTTCTACTTCTTACATGTTGAACTCAAATACCTGTACTTTCTACTTCTTACATGTTGAACACAAATACCTGTACTTTCTACTTCTTACATGTTGAACACAAATACCTGTACTTTCTACTTCTTACATGTTGAACACTAATACCTGTACTTTCTACTTCTTACATGTTGAACACAAATACCTGTACTTTCTACTTCTTACATGTTGAACCCAAATACCTGTACTTTCTACTTCTTACATGTTGAACACAAATACCTGTACTTTCTACTTCTCACATGTTGAACACAAATACCTGTACTTTCTACTT